TTTGAACTGCAAGGTCGGCAGTTCAAGCTCACCAGCTGCTCCTTGGGTTGCTATGGGTTAGAATCAACTCGATGACACTTAACAACAACAACAACAACAACAGGACAAAGCAGAACTGCCCCACAGGGTTTATAGAAGCAGATTGTCACATCTTTCTCCCATGTAGTAACTGGTGGTATTGACTAGTAACCACTATGCCACCAGGGTTCCATATATTTATTTTCTGATACCCATTTTTTTTTTTCATGGATATATTTTTTCAATGAAAACAGTTGGTGCCTCGATCAGTGAAGAGGAAAAATGATAAATGTGTAATACATTTTAACAATATCCATAAAGTTTTAAAAATCAGAAATACTAGGTAAATAAATAAAAATTAGTAGTGTAGTATAACTTAGTCAAATAAAAATACCCCTGAGCTGAGAATAAATTAGGTGAGAGGATGGCGGATATGACGATTTATGAAAAAGAATTGATATTTAAGAGTACATTCTTAAATTTTATTTTTTTGTTTATTTGGTAAATCAGAAATACATTTTACTGATGCAAAGTTTCTATTTAGAGAAGAAGAGTATTAAATTTCTTTTCACTTTTGTGTATTACTAAAGATATCATGATTTATATTATTGCACTTTTGTGTATGACTAAAGATATCATGATTTGTATGGCCTAAAGATTTACACCCTCGGAAATCCTGTACAGGGTCGCTATGGGTCGGAACCGACTCGACGGCACTTAACAACAACAACAATTGTTAAATAAAATATTCTCTATTAATTTGTTGTTGTCGCAGCTACTTTTCTACCTATACATCTAGCCACCCAGTCAAATTTTAGTATGTCCTCTGTTTAGAAACATATATGGGCTAGTGCTTCTCAACTGCTCATGAAAGCAAATATTATGCAATATTTATTGTCAGGTGCTCCTCCTTCCTTTTCCAACTATGTATTTGATACCATATTTCTTTTTTCCCCAACCCAAATAATGATCATAACAAACTGAATGCAGAAGACCAAGAAAATTTAGCTGCTGTCAATTAAAGTAGACATTAAAAAGATTTTTTTAAATGTATACGGCATTTTTAAATATCGATTTTAGAGAATGTTATTTCTGCTAGTCTGATTTATCACTGGCATTTAAAAATGAATAAACATGTAACGTTTTTATCCATGATAATTTCCAACATGATAAATATAGAACTCAAATACACAAAAGCTCCTTGAGACCAAACATGTGAGAAACTCTGTTCTAATGTTTCCTAAATTTATAACTCTAAATCAAATTTCTACTATGAGCAACATCTCCTACAAATATGTACAAGAGGCACTCAAAGTAAACAATTCAAAAGAGAACACCTGATTGTATCCCAAACTGTCAAATTTTCTCTTTCTCCAGTTTCCCCCATCTCAGTAATGGCAACCGAATGCACTCGTAACTCATCTTGCAATCCTTGGAATCATTGATTTCTTCTACAACTCCTCACACCCAATCCCCTAGCAAGTGTCACTGACATCACCTTTACAATATATTTCAAATCATACCAAATACTGCCACCTTCACTAATTATTATTCCAATCTAAGGCATCACCATTTTATCTTGGTGCCTTAACAAATTAAAACAATCTTACTAAATAAAGTTTCCAAAGGGTAGTTGTTGTAGAAAAGTAACAACAGTCTTCCCTAGCATCATCATAATCCTCCTCCTTATCACTTTGTAGATAATATACATAATATAGTGTGATTAGTGTTCTTTTTGAATATAGTGATTGTCTTCGCTAACCAAATTCTCAAGCTCTCAAGTCAAAAGTGTACTACATGATATTAACTATTTCATCGTATAATTATCATAAAAGAATCTAAACACAGAATTACAATTTTCTAAAATACTAGCATGATTTTTCTAATTTGTGAACACTGTATATAACTTAGATACTTTTGAATTTGGACAGTGGACTAAACTGTGAGATGTAGATTTTCTGTTTATTATATGTACAGTCAACTTACCTTATCGAGCTCATCTGAAATTGCAATACCTGTGATTCAAAAGAGATGAATGAAAATTTTAGAAGTAATCTTTAATAACCTTAATGTTAAAAAATTATATTTATAAAACAAGTACATTTTCCATTCTGGTTTCTTTGTAGTGTTGTTTCAAAATAATGTGGCATATCCAGTCTACTAATGGAACCAAATTAGGAATTTAAATAAATAATAACAGCCATGAACTTCTGAAACAATGTAATGAAGCAACAAAAACAAAACAGATACTACATTGGTTGCAGGTTCTGAAAGGTACAGCAAACTTGCAATTGTAAAGATGGTACACTTTGGACTGGGCTGTTAAGATGACAATCTTAATAGCTTAGCCTTTAGGATCTGGTTCCTTCTTAACAGATAGTTTAGAACCCTAGATCCCTGTTGTGCCACTGTAGGATAAGCAAACGGACTGCTAACCACAGCTGGACAGCTGAAAACCACCAACTGCCCCCTTAACCTCTATACAGGGCTACTGTGAGTTGGAACTGACCCAAGGGCACACAATACCAACCGAATAACCTACAGTGAAATCTGTGTGAGTTGGAACTCAATGGGGCTGCCTTGCTTTTCTAGATCTCACAGTTTTCACTGTCAACATGTCAAACTAATGTTGTCATCCTTCTCCCTCTCATTTCTTTTGAAATGCCTACGTGGCATGGCTACAGCTTAACATGGGCTCTACGGCTGGACATCTAAGCAGATATGCAGCCAGCCCTCAGGTGTGTGGCAAAGAGCAAAAGGGAACTGATGTCAAAACCTCAGTGAGGATGGTCAAGGGGCAATAATAAGTCTACACTTTGAAGTCCAAAGGAACACAGACAATTAAAACAAGATTTGAAGCCAAAGTTCAAGAGACTAGAAAAGCAAAAAGAAAGAAAGAAAGTGGGGGAGAGGAGGATAATTTGGGGTAGAAAACAGAATCTGAAAATAACCTCAAAGTGCATTTTCTTTTTCTTGACATTTACATAATTTAATAACTTTGGTTAAGAAACTACCTAAAATAATTTTCATTCTATTGTACAAGTAAAAAAAGTATTGCTAGTAGGATGTCAGTTCATGTGTTGTTGCTCTTGTTGTTGGGTACCACTGAATCAGTTCCAACTCAGCATGCCACTTTGTCAATCCATCTTGTTGGGGATCTTCCTCTTTTTCCCTGATGCTTCACTTTTCCAAACATGATGTCTTCTCCAGGGACTGGTCCCTCCTGATAACATGTCAAAAGCATGAGAAACAAAGTCTTGCCATCCTGGCTTCTAAGGAGCAGTTTGTCTATAATTCTTCTACCACAGATTTGTTTGTTCTTCTGACAGTCCATGGTACTTTTATTATTCTTGCCAACACCATAATTCAAGGCACTGAATTTGCTATGGTGTTCCTTATTCACTGCCCAACACTCACATACATATACAGTGATAGAAAACATCTGACATCTTTCTTCCAGTACACTTTCAAGAGGTCCTTTGCAGCAGAATTTTTAAATACAATATGATGTTTGATTTCTTGACTGTTTCTTCTATGAGCAATAATTGTGGATCCAAGCAAAACGAATCTTTGACAACTTCAAATTTTTCCTCCATTTATCATGATGCTATATCTATTTGTCCAGTAGTGAGGACTTTTGTTTTCTTTACATTGCAGTACGATCCATACTGAAGGCTGTAGTCTTTGATCTTCATCAGTTAAATATTTCAAGTCCTTTTTTCAGCAAGCAAGTTGTATCTTCTGTATATCACAGATTATTAATGACTCTTCCACCAACCTGGTGACAAGTCCTTTTCATATAATTCAGTTTCTCAGATTCTTTGTTCAGCAAATACATTGAATAAGTATGGTGAAAGTATACAACCTGGGTATACACCTTTCCTAAGTTTAAACTCAGTGTCCCCTGCTTCTGTTCTAATAACCACCACCTCTTGGTCTCTGTCCATGTTCCTTATTAACACAATTAAATGTTCTGAAATACAAATTCTTTTCAATGTTATCCATAATTTATGATCCACATAGTCAAATGTCTTTGTATAGTCAGTAAAGCACAAGTAAACATATTTTTGATATTCTCTGCTTTCAGCCAAGATCCATTCGATGTCAGCAATGACATCGTTCCCACATCCACGTTCCAGTTGTACATGCATTTATTCAAAATAAAACTATCTGAGATCAGTGGATGGCTGCAGACAGGTTTTCTCAGTAGCGTGCTTGTGTCACTTTCATTAGGGTACCTTCAAATAAACACTCCAATAAAAACAAGGACTTCTAAGAGGATCTGCTGGGCCAGTTAAATTCAAGGCAGAAAGGTCATCTCAGAAGGTTATGGCGAATGTTTTTTGTTTTCTTGTGCTTTGTTTTTCATTACAAAGAAGTAATCTTGATAGACTTTTCTCGAATCACACAGGCCAATCACAGGGATTTCTCAGCAAGAAATCTCAAGAGAACTGAAAACTGCATTGGTGGCCGGGAAAATTGGCACTTAGGAATTTTTTTTTTTTTTTCATCACAACAATGCACTGCTCATTCTCTAAAGGTACCAAGGGCTGTCCTGAGAATTTCATTGGGAAACCTTACCCCATTCTCCCTGCATCCTTGATCTCGCTCCTTCAAATTTATTTTTGTTACCCAATACAAAGAACATTTTAAAGGAAAATGATTTGAATCCCTCAAAGAAAACAAAATTGCTGTTCTGACAAAGTGTAAATCAAAGAGTGAAGAATTCTTCACAAAATGTCAGATGGATGGAAAACCACCCTCTGAAGAGTATAGAGTTAGATGGAGAATATGTTGAGAAGCAATAGCTTCAAGTTTTGATATTTTTGTTTAATATTTTATAGCAATACTGTTTGACTTAGCTTTACATATAACCCTTGCAACTTTCTACTAACAATTTTAACTTGCCTAGGGTATTTCTCATTTTTTTTTCTTTTCAAATCAAAGCCTTGATTGACTAAAAACAGTCAAATGAATTTTAATGAAATGCTTGTCTGAGAAACATGAAACTCTAATGGGACCCACTTAAGTTAGTATTTTGTAGCCAGGATATTTCTTGTAGAATCTTAGAACTTCCATAGCTATTCCCTAAGAGGAGAATAACCACTTTTTCACACTTTTTTCAAGGTTCAGAAGTTGAAGCACATATTAAGACTTCATTTTATGGCAGTAATATTCTATTGGATATATAAGTAGTAGTAGTAGTTAAGTGCCGTCGAGTCGGGTCCAACCCATAGCGACCCTGTACAGGGTTTCCAAGGGTGTAAATCTTTACAGGAGTAGAAAGCCTCATCTTTCTCCCGCGGAGCG